GCTTTCCACTACGACGGCCCTCATAATCATATCGAGGTTTTTGAGACGTGAAATCCCAAATATTATAATTATGTGTTCTTCTTATGCTGCATATTCCATCTGATGAATCGGCACCTACACCCTTCTCAGGCACAAAAGCACCCTTAGAGTCTATTTTAGGGTGCTATCGAGGCAAGCACCCAAACAAAAGGGTGCTTTTTTTTCAATCGACCATTTATGGGTGTTAAAGGGTGTTGCAAAGGGTGCTTTCTCGTAAAAGCACCCTTTTTACACCCTTTTGGGTGCAAAAATTTTTACTGTGTATGCAAGGCGGCAGAATTGTTGGCGGCGCAGCACGACGTGTGGCGACGGGAGCAACGACAGGTCGACCGGGTGAAGAAAACTGATGAGGAAGAGCATACGACATTCCGGTGCCGTAGGTGTGGGCGGCAACATGGTCCACATGCCCGGCATTCGGGCGCACTTGCCGAAGGTGCGGAGGAAAAAATCATTTTGCGGCAAGCGCACAAAAGAAGTAGCAGAGGTTCAGAGCAGTGAGGAGGACTGCGAGATTCTAGACGTTTCGATTGACAGCGTGATAAATCGGCGGTGTTGGATCATGCAAGCACAAGTGGCGAACGGTGACCTGACCCTTAAGATCGACACGGGTGCGCAAGCAAACATTTTGCCGTACAGCACGTATCGCAAGCTCGACCCGAAAGCGCAGCTAGTACAGAGCAACGCAATGCTACGTTCTTACGGGGGAGCAGCCATAAAGCACCTTGGGACCACGACGCTAAAAGTCAGCCTCGGCAGAAGGACTGTCAACGTCCACGGCGTTTTTTGTTGTGAAAAAAGGGCAGCAAGCGATTCTTGGCTTGCATGCGAGTGAAGTTCTTGGACTATTCACAATGTGCATCAGCGAAATTACGACGAACACCAGCGAACAAGTCGCGCAGGAATACAAAGACGTCATCAGGGGTATTCACTGCATTCAATGACGCTATAAGATGTACTCTAAAAAAAGAGCGAGTAAAAATGGTGTCTTTTTGTCACACAACAATAATCGTCATCTATATTTCGTTCCATCCATGCGCTATCACCCCGCTCCCGGTACATTCCGGTCACGATCCACATGCCCATTATCGGGGTTACATAGCATTCTCGATAGAAAAGTGGCCAGCGCCAAGTTTTCAAGAAAGGAAGTGCACGCAAGCCTGATGACGATTATTGTTGTGGAACAAAAAGACAACCTTTTTCTTCGATATTTTTTTAGAGTGTGGTACTGCAACCAAACAGCGTTCCTACAGTGCAGGTCGCCAGACGAGTCCCCTTGGCTCTCCACGGACCACTGCGAGCTCAACTCGACCAGATGCAGAGGGCGGACATCATTACCAAGGTGGAAGAGCCAACAGACTGGTTAAGCCCTTTGGTGATCACCACAAAGAAGGACGGTAAACTGTGCGTATGGCTGGATCCCAGAAAAATTAGGGAGAGTTTGAAGCGCGAGCATTACGAGATGCCGCACCGCGAGGACATTCAGGCAGAGCTTGCTTGCAGGAGCAAAATTTTTCTCTCGCCTAGACGCCAGCTCTGGGTTCCATCAGATTCCACTCGATGATAAAACATCCAAAATATGCACGTTTGCCACCTCCTTTGGAGGCTATATATTCCTCAGGCTTCCTTACGGAATAGCGTCAGCCTCGGAGGGGTTTCAGAAGTGCATGACTGAAATCTTCGATGCCATCCCGGCAGCCCGAGTGTACGTGGATGATATACTCGTATGGGGTAGCACAAGAAAAGAGCACGACGACAGGCCACGGGCAGTCATGCAGTCCGCACGCACAGCGGGATTAACGTTCGACCCAGATAAGTGTGCAATAGGGGTAACGAAAATTTCTTTTTTGGGTGACGTAATATCAGAGCAAGTAATACGCCCGAACCCTGCATCTGTTTCTTCGGTACTACGAATACCGCCCCCAACCAATAAGCACGCCATACAAAGAATGCTAGGATTTGTTAACTACTTTGCGAAGTTTATACCAGCGTTGGCCGAAAAAAACAAATTAACTCCGGGAGCTAATAAAGAAGGACAACGTCTTTGAGTGGACTGCCAACCACGCGAAATCTCGTGTGCGGCGCGCTGAGTGAGCCGCCCGTTCTAGCTATCTACGACCCCAATCGAGACACGAAGATAAGCTAAGTGCGTGGCAAGACGGCATCGGCTCGGCCCTACTGCGCGAGTGGTTCTTAATAAAGAGAAAGGAAGAGAAAAGTGAGCCCCGTTATTGTCTGATTCAGAAAGCGACACCGCCACAGGGCTCACAAGGTATGGGGGTGAGGAGGGATAAAAAGGGTAGAAGTAAAGGTATAGGAAAGAGGAAGAAGAAGCAACAACAAACTGGGGGCATAGGAGAGACAGGAAAGATGGAAGCACGGTCACTGGAGTCCGAGGACGGGGTACACTTGCGAGAGATGTCGGCGTCTGTAGATGGCGTAGAGCAGGTCCAGTAAGTCAGAGCTTCACTGTCGTCGAAAGCCGTCGGCGGCAGGAGGTGACGTAGGGCGAGCCCAGTCGGCCAGAGCTACGGTGACGCCGAAGGTCGCAAGCGCGCGGAGCGCGCGGGCGCACAACCGGTCGGCACGAAATCCAGCGAGCGAGTCCGGCCCTACTGCAACGGCACGAGGACGGGTGGAAACCGGTTGCTTATGCGTCACAGGTACTGACGAGTGTTTAGAAACGATATTCCCAGATTGAAAAGAAAGTCATGGCAGTGGTATACGGATGCGAGAAATTCCACTATTTCGTGTACGGCCGCAAAGTGTTGCTTGAAAAGGACCACCACCCACTGATAGGATTATCTCCGAAAGCGATTGGGGACATGGCACCAAGGTTGCAACGTTTCTTTCTTCGTCTACTCAACTACATTTCACCCTGCAGTTTGTGCCCGGAAAGTCCTTGCTATTGGCTGATATGCTGTCACGAACGCCCGTTGGTCAGTCCCGAAAGGACGACGCGGAGCAGGACGTCGAAGTTGGGTGCACGTTAAATAATTCCAGGTGGTCGAAATTTCCGGAGCCCTCCACTACGGCGTCTCTCATAATCATATGGTGGTTTTGGGACGTTAAACCCCACAAATCAATCAATCAGGACGTCGAAGTTCATGCTGTAAGTAGCATTTCAGCGCTTGTAAGCGAGGCAACATGGTACAGCCTGATACAAGGAACAAGCGAGGAGGGCTACTTGTAAAATGTCATCGAATGTCTTCAAACCAACAAACCCGTTACAGGCCAGCTAAAACAGTTGGCAGCGGAGCTGTCGACAGTTGACGGCGTGCTTTTGAAGAGATGCAAGGTTGTTATCCCAGCCAGTATGCGCGCCGACGTTTTGCGCAGGACTCACGATGTTCATTTGGGAATAAATAAATGCAAGGCACGGGCCCACCGTTTAGTTTTTTGGCCAGGCCTCGGGACGGACCTTGATAGCCTCGTCAGGAAATGCGCAGTGTGTCAGACGCATGTGTATAAACAACAAAGTGAGCCACTTTTGAATCGTCCCGTGCCCGAACATGTCTGGTATAGAGTAGGAGTGGATACCTTCGACTACGGTGGCAAAGCGTACCTATGCGCGTATGACGTGTTTTCCAATTTCCCGAGGTGGAATTGCTCCGTGACACATGCGCAGCAACACTCATTGAGAAGCTCCACGCTATGTTTGCCAGATACGGGATACCAGTGGAGGTACGCACTGATAACAGACCGCAGTTCGCCGGTCGGAAATTTACGCTCTTCTCAAAAAGATATGATTTCACACATACCACCTCTAGCCCCCGGTTTCCTCGGTCTAATGGCCTTGCAGAAAAGGGCGTGCAGGTAGTTGAGCGGGTCCTAAAGAAAACTACTGAAGGCAGCGATGACTTTTGGCTGGCATTGCTAGGTTACAGATCCAGTCCTTTGGAAGATGGCAATTCGCCCGGCGAGCTACTCCAAGGCCGACGGCTCCGGACCCCCCTGCCCGACTTCAGTGAACAACCTCGCATGACTGTGCGAAAACATCAACAACAAGAACAGCCCAGACGTTCCCTGGTGCCCTTGGGCGAGGGGGAAGTAATTAGAATACGTGATGGCACGTGGGCAAGGAAAGCAAAAGTGATCCGTGCTGTGCAGCCTCGGTCGTACCGTGTCCTCACCGAGGACGGGAAAGTTCTTCGTCGAAACCAGCAACATCTACTGGAGACGACAGAAACTCTCGTTCCTGACACATCTGATGACGACGACTCCAACGACGAAGCGGGCGACAACCGGATACCAACGCAGCCACACTACACCACAGCAGGTTCATCAGTGGAAGTGCCGCTACCAGCGAGCGCACCGGTGAGATCAACGCGTCCATGAAGACCCCCTCAACGCCTCACTTATGCTAAACACTTCAATCAGTGCTCTTGAAAGTGATCAAGTGTGTTTTTGTGCATGTACGTTATTACTTTGTTTACTCGGAGGCGTGACATGAGATCTTCGATTGGTGCTCTTGAAAGTAATCAAGCGTGTTGTTGTGCATGGACGGTTTTCCTTTGTTTATTGAGGGGAAGATGTATCGTGTGTGATAGCCGCGTCCAGCGCGTCAGCCCACCCGCACGTGTGGAATGTTCTTGTCATCGCGGCGGCGCATGCTCGCTGTGTGTATTCACCTTTCCTGTGCACTCCGCCCTTTCCCAATGTATGGCATAAAACTGTCCGCCGAATAAACCAAGTGGTTCTTCTCTTCAAGGCTTAGCTTCACTATCAGCGGCGGTCACGCAGACACGAAACAGACTCGAAGCAGCGAGAGGCTTCTCTGACACATAGGTCTACTCCTGGCGACGCGCCGCAGGGCTTTCTTTATAGGCACCAGGCGGATCCATTGAGTCACCAAACGTCTAACCAGAAGGGCCCTCTACGCGTTCTCCTGTATCACCCTGCGACCGACTCAATGGGAAACACTCGAGACGGCACATCGCGGCATCATCCGCTGCCTCTTTGGAATGCCTCGGGCGTCTCCAGTGGACGTAACCTATGCCGAAACGAATCAGTTTCCCCTCTCGCTCAGAGCCAAGGCTTGTGCTCTGCGTCACGTCGAGCGCATGTACATGACGCGAGGGGGCAAGGCACTCGTCCATCGTCTCCTATCGCTGTCCGACACTGGTATGGGCCGCAGTGCACTGGAGTACGCCGGCCTCATCTCGGGAGCCCCTTTCGTAGGCCTCCTGCCTATCCCTCCAAACTGGGACTCCCGGCTGCCCATTTCGATCAGGGTTCCGGGTGTACGCAGCAAGGGGCACACACCTCGAGCTGCCCTTCTACAGGAGACCTGCGCACTGATCGAGCAGCGGTACTCCGGCCACCTCCATCTTTACACGGACGGCTCGGTGAAGGGGGACGGCTCGGCTGCTGCTGCAAGCGTCATTCCGCCGCTCCGAGACGAGAGGAAGTGTCGTCTTCCGCTCCCGGCGACATCGACGACCGCTGAGCTCGCGGCTCTGAACTTAGCGGCCGATCAGCTGGCCGAGCTCCTCCCGTCTTCGGCCGTCATCTTCTGCGACTCTCGGGCGGCCCTCCTCACCCTAGCGAGAAGCGAGAATGGCACTTCGATCGCGCGGCGCCTCACGCGCAAGTTTACCGTGATCGTCTGCAGTGGGTGTGATGTGTCCTTTCAGTGGGTGCCCTCACACGTCGGAGTGCGCGGCAACGAGGCAGCCGACGAGCTCGCAAGGGACGCCCACGACCCTCCACTGCCACAACGGACTTCGTTCGGAACTACGATGTGGCGCGACTGATAATCGCACGCCACGTCCGCGCTCTTCACCTGGACCCCCGCACAGCAGCCGGCAAGCCTGTCGCACGCCTGCCGTCAACGGGAATCGGTCGGCGTGCTCGAGCTTTCCTGCTGCGCCTTCGTGCGGGATGCGGCCGTACAGCACAACTGCTCTCCAAACAGCGTGACAGTGGCAGCCCTTCGTGCGCGCAGTGTCCGGCAGACGAGACCGTTGAACATATCCTGTGCCAGTGCCCGGGATACGCGGACATTCGTCGCCGTCTCTGCACCAGCTACGAAAACTCGGACTGCCACACGTGAGTGCAGAACACATGCTGTTCCCCTCGGCGAACGTTGCAACACTTCGCCTGGCGTTCTATGCGCTCCTTGATTTTTTTGGCGACGCAAACCTTTTTACGCGCCTCTAAAGAGGCCCGTCACAAACCCACGTGTCGTTGTTTACTGTGCCGCGCGCCACGCCCCCTCGGAGTCCCACGTGACTTTGTTTACGTAGGCCACTCCCACCTGCCTAACGGCCTTTTTTTTTTCCTCTCTCCTACGGAACCTCTCCCTTCGGAGCGGACACTCTCTCCCCTCCCCTCGTGGTTACGGAGCGCCCAAACTTCTTGCTGCCTGTCCCGTGGTGTGTGTGTGTGTGATTTTTTTTTTTCCGCTACTTGTGCGCATTCATCGCCTCCGGCTTCTCGGCGGTCTTTCGCTCGGTTGCGTGTGCTGCGTTGTTTCTTGCGCGCGTGCGCGATGCGAGTGATCGAATGCTTTCACCAGTCTTCTCTTACCTCTTCTCTTCTGTCTCTTTCATTCCCATTCCCCCTTCCCTGCGCTTAACTGTGGAGGTGCCCTCGTTTAAGAGAGGCAGTAACGGGACAGCGCTTTTCTCTTCCTTTTCCTCTTTCATAGCCACTCAGCGCCGCTGGCCGTGATGTCGGAACCCTCCAATGGGGACCCGCCGCGGCGCGTAGTTGCACTCAAGGACGAGAGATGTTGCCACGCATTGCGTAAGACTCGCCAGACTGGTAGGCGCCGCTTGCTTCATAGGGCTCGTGGGCTGAGGGAGCTCGCTGTGCGTTGTGTGACAGACAGGCGCCACCGCTTGATGACGTCGTTGAGTTGATTGCGTCAGGCGTGCTCGAGTGCTGGCCTTGACACAGATTGCCTTTGCAGAGGCATTGACGTTCAGTGTGGACTCGCAAGCGAAACAATACAAACAAATGCATCATTCATGCATTCAGTGTTTACTCATTGAGGTCCTGAATGGGTACCAAATCCTTGAACGTTGTTTTCAATTGATACAGCCACACGAAAGTGGCACATACTCTACGCACAGCCTATCTTTATCTGACGAGTAGTTTAGTACCTGGCACCCGTAGATAACCTTTGCGACAAAGAAGATATTTCATACCTGCGCATAGGCGAGCACAAGAAGTTCTCACCCCATCCATGCTTGTCAGGCGCTCTTGACAAGCGTGAAAGCAGAACGACAGGGTGGCCCATCTTTCGTGTTAAAAGGCAAAAGGTGCCCGGTAGGTTCACTGTTCCAACTAATACCAGCAGATATAAATGACTTGGTTCCCCGTTTACCAAATCTTAGTTTCATTCATACTCGCGACTGCTGCAGACGCGTGGAAAAACTTCATAGCACGCAACAGTGCAGACACACGGGACGAAAAAGAATGACAGGACTTGGCACGGGTATAGTAACATGAGCGTTTATTTCGTAGGTGCGCAAATATAACAAGACAAAGGGGAGGGGGTGTAATATAGCTTAACGCATGCCTTAACTATTTTAAGGTGATGCAATGAACACGAGCGGTAATCGATACTTAATTTCCTTGTTGCTTATAACGATCAATAGCGCGCTTACAAATGATGTTCCAGTGGAATGAATTGCGAGTGCTTTGTGGATTTACCGGACGCGGCTATAAGAATACGTGCGCAAGATATCGTGCAATTTAGCCAAGTCAACAAGCTCAAGTTTACACCCTTTTAATGCTTAGTCTTATTGAACACTACTTTTGCCAGCGTAAAGATGCACTATGTGGTCATTTAGCTTTGACACACTTAAGCTTAAACAGTACTAAAACATCACCATTCGTTCAAACATTCTGACCATGCAAACACTATAAGTAGCGGAAGAACTGCCCTTTGGGAATTAGTAGGGTGATTGTATTGCACAAGCTATGCCATCAAGCTACTATCCCTAGACATTAATATCGTGTTTTCCACACTTTTGCAGTTCTTAATGCATCTGATGACATCAGCTTTATGGGTCGCTCATTTTTAACCCAATGAGACTATCCCAATCGATTGCCTTTCCTACATTGAGGAATTGAAAGAATGGAACTGCCTGACCCTTCCGGAGTGAAAATGAGCCAAATTTTTTCTATCCAAAGTAATGAAAGGAATGGGATCAAGTTCACCATATACGCGCCCAACGTCACCATATGGAGTGTCGGTGGCTCGGAGGGCTGCGTGGAGAGCTCTCTTCAAGAGGCCGTCGACTGTGTTGAAGTGTACATAAAAGAAATCGGCCTGAAGCACTCGCCGTTGAAGTTTGAACCTCTTTTATATTGACTCGTGAGAAGAGGACCCAAACCCAAAATATTGAAAACTACTGGCCGACATCGACATTATACGCTGCACACAGAATCGGGGCAGCAGATTCCGAGGGTGGACTTCATATGCGTTGTGAACGTGATCATTGACGCAAATAGACAAAACAGCCGCACGGTCGACCGTCTTATTTCAAGGCGGAAGGGGTAATTTCAAATCTCACGCATTTTCAACCGTTGGTGTGGTCTTCGAGAAGACAATAGACTGTTTCATTCATTTTTGATTAGACACATAAGCTATGCCGCATCCATGCACAACTGATAACTCCATGAGAGGACTAAATTAAACATGCTAATACGAAAGAGCATCAAGCGAGTCATTCCTGTTCGCACCAGCACCGAAAACCTTATGAAGTTTTGGGTCCACCACACGCTTGAACAAGTCATTGAGGCTCAGCAAACGGCGCAGGTTGCCAGGCTTTCAGTCACATCAGCGGGGGATGGCATTGGACTCAACGCCCCGACGCGCGAAGTGCAAAAACCCACCACTTGATTGTATGCGCTCTCACATCAAAGTGTGTGGAAGGCGTGTTGCTGCAGCCTTCTTTTCTCTTTTAGCTCTCGCGTCTGTTTCAAGCTTTGTCGATGCCACCCAGTACGGCACTTCCGCTCACTTTGCAGTAGTATCCGTATATTTTATTTAAATCCGTAAGATTTTATTTTCAGCGTCGGCTCGAACTAGCTCTTACAAAGCAGAGCAGATGACCATTGCACTAGCTCTCCTTGATTTGCAGAGAACTGACATTCATAAGGTCTTTGAATCTGCTGCTAGGGCCTTCGCTTCTGGTTCCGTGTGCAAGGAAGTTTTTAAAACTCTCGCTCACAAGGAACTCGCCCATCACACTATTACTTGGTTCCCTGCACGCCTTGGATCGAAGGTCAAGGCTTTCCCAATGTCAACGAGATAGCCCACTCTATTCCGCCAGGTTTCACTTACCGCGCCGGAATTAGCACGCCTCAGACAGAGGAATCAGCCCCCAGCCTCCATCTTAGGGATATTTTGACTACATTAAATGAGGCCACAAAGCACAATCAAATTGAGAGTAGGTCCTTCCCACTGCCACATGAAAAGTTGTCTAGGCCCCAAGTAATCTACCTTCGCATGCTTCAGACTTAGAAACGTAGCCCAGCATGTACCTTATGGTCATTGCTCCGACATTTCAGAACTTTGTCCAGACTGACACTGTCGCAGTGATTTTAGCCACACGCTCTGAAGGTACCCCTCTTTACAAGAAAAAGATCAAAATTTTTTCGAAAATGACTCGTTTCATGCTCAAGAGCCCGGTCCTCCAACAACAGCACACAGCTCTACGGAAGACCCACCACGCAGCCGTGAGGCTAGGCCTGCCTCTGCCTAGCCCGCAATCCTGGAATCTTACCGGACCTGAATAAAGTTTTTCATTCGTTCATCCTAAACACGCGAGCATCAACCACCAAGTCGATAAGCGCGAAGCACCGCGGCCAAATGAACGAGAATACGCGCATGCACTCGAAGAGCGATCATGTGCACCAGTCTCCGCTAGGCTGTTCCAGGAACCGGACACCCCCTCTTCTTTTGAGCACTGTTATTGTCACCCTTTGCCTTTTCCGAACGCTGCCATCAAGTAAAAATAGTTTCACCGGAATGACAAAGCAATGAATGTGATAGCAACAAATCAGGGGTGGAACAGAATACATCAGGCTTGGAGCAGTCCTGGGAGCAGGTAACAGTGACTTTTGTAGCAGGCTTGGAGCATCCAGAAAGACGTTTTGGAGCTGGTTTGTTGGAGCCAAAATGGCCTTTTCGAGCAAGTTTGTGAAAAAAGAGAGTATTGGGAGAACAAAGGACCATTTCGCCAACGTTTATGAAGAAGTATAATATTAACTGTTGGGCTGTAAGAGCCAGCCCATTTACGTCGGTCAGAGGGCTCATGTGATAACATCACTCCGCTTGGGAGGCCTGCCTTCGAAGCAGAAAAAAATTGCCACCACCTCACCGAAGGGAATCGTGAAAAATGCAAACGCTTTTTTTGTGCAATTTTAATGGCGTAAATCGATGACGAGATGAGGATTTGTACCGTAACCATTGATACCCTCATCAGCCAGCGAACGGTCGAGAGCGAGGCGTGCGCTTCACTCCATTTATATATAAGTACGAGCGAGCGGACGAGAGAGTGGCGCGCAGGAAGGAGAGAGCGAACGGCGAGAGGAGTGGCGAAGCACTGCACCTACCCTCTCCTACACTGCCTCCACACACGCGGAAGCTCCGCCGAGCTCCCGCGATGCGAGCGCCCTTACACGCCGGAGCGCACTGCTCCTCTCCACTTACTCTCCGCTACTCCGCCCGCACCACTTGCTCTTGTTGCAAGGGACGAGGATAAGCGCTCACACCCACAGCTGTTGGTATGGGAGA